ACGAAAGGCTATACCTATTTACAGTGTTGACCAAACAGTTGGCAAGAAGCATTAATAGATAAGCTATGTACCAAATATGATAATTTTAGCTCTATTCTAATTATGACAAAACACGAAGTAACTAAAAGCGAGTTTTGTTGGTGTAGTAAGCGTTAAAGGAGGTCTACTTTACACTGAATCGACGTTCACTTTTATTACTTTTGATCTTCCGGCACTGTTGACTCAGCGAAACTGAACTTGTATTTTACCGTATTTCGTTATATTAAAACTGCTGTTGCATTAGGTCAAATTCCCAATAAGTCAATTGCTTTAACATAGACCACGTTTTTAGCTCGGACTGTATTATTTGACTTACTGGGACTTTTGATCTACAGACACTGCAAACATTGTAGTTCTTGAACTAGCGGCACAGGTATAAATTATTTGATCTTCCGGGACTGTTGACTTCCAGCAACATTCCCATAACCTCTATGGTTGGGCAATGTCTCAGTACTGTATATTACGACGTCAATCAAATCAAATAAAATCATCCTTTATTCATAATGTACAATATATACATGTATATATACAATATATACATATATACATATATACATATATATGCAATATATAAATATATACATATATATATATACAATACATCAATATATACATATATGACGTTATTGACATCGCAATATACAGTACTGTGACATTGCCTAACCATACAGGTTATTGACGTCGTAATATACAGTACTGTGACATTGCCTAACCATACAGGTTATTGACGTCGTAATATACAGTACTGTGACATTGCCCTACCATAGAGGTTTTTAGCGTCGTAATATACAGTACTGTGACATTGCCCATCCATACAGGTTATTGACGTCGTAATATACAGTACTGTGACATTGCCTAACCATTGAGGTTATTGACGTTGTAATATACAGTACTGTGACATTGCCTAACCATACAGGTTATTGACGTCGTAATTTACAGTACTGTGACATTGCCCACCTAATAGTTTAATTTTAAGATTTGGAAAAGTTTTAGTGTCCCCAAAAAATGAGGGAGTATGGGCTCAACTGGAGATTACTCTATATATAAGATATATTAACCTTTAATCTTTACCAATTTAATTTTAAACAGTATGATTTAAATTGGCATTCTGTTAATTAGGTTTTTTTAACAAGCCCTTATGACACTGTGTATCTGGATTCGGATCCGACGATCCGGATCCGAATTGTTCAAGATCCGGATCCGGTACCTACATTTTCTTGGATCCGCCCATCACTATTTATTACCGGGTCCGCGGAATTGGCTAACTCTGGAACTCGCTAACCCCATGTTAAACGCCCTATCTTCAAATTTGGTCGACGAGAGTCGTCCAATGGGAGCCAAACACGAATATTTTTGGCCAGTGTTGCCGAAAGTGTAGTACCTATATCGTATCGGTACCATAATGTCGTATCCTACGATTATTAGGAGTAAGAGCAACGTAGTCGATAAAATAAATATATTTAGAAGTATGTTTAACATTATTCCTATGATTATTATTGTGGAAAATGCATTATAGTCTTACCATAGACTAACCAACACAAGTAAACTTTACATCCCATTGTAAACTTTGAAGCTCGTTTTTCGTGTCTAGTTCATGTCCGGTGACACTGATCGCTAGTGTCGACAAAAGTGTGTTTCTATTATTTTATAGTTAACTTCATGATTTGTTTTTTAATTTTTGGTTATATAACTAGGGGACGTGTTATTAGTTGTGATTAGAACGTTTTATTTGGTTAAACGAGGTTTTAAATTACTGAAAACAAGAAACAATTGTAAACAAAACACGACCTCTAAAGACAGTGCACCGGACAGAACTAACAATAAAACTGTCTTCAGCTGATCCATTAGGATGAGAAATCTACTAAGGGAGTATGTTTTATCCCTTAGTAGATTTCTCATCCTAATGGATCAGCTGAAGACAGTTTTATTGTTAGTTCTGTCCGGTAGCTTATTGGTATGCAAAAAGGTAAAAATGCACATTTAATTTGGATCCATTACATGTTATGAAATATCTATTTTCGCAGTCCGCCATTTGTTTCTTTTATTCGAATAAATACCATTTTGTAAATTTCTGCAAATAAAATTATTTAGTTCGTATTTTATATACTGGGCTTGTAACCTTGAATCATCTATAATATTAAAACGAAACTGGTTTTAAGTTTTAATTTTTAAAAAGTCTAGCAGCCGACGCTAGCAATTTAAAGTATTTTCAATGGTGGTTTAACTAACAGCTGGTTTATAACTGTCATTGAAATGTTTATGTTACGAGTTGTTTGTTTACAAAAATATTGTTCGTTAGTGTTTGCCTACATACTATTTCACTTTAAAATGTAGATAGTTTACCCCTACCGTGAAGGATCTCCGTTATCAGGAAAAGTGTTATTTTGAACTAAACATCTCAAACACTTGCGTTTACTCAAGTTTTGTCGTAAATGCAATCTGTGTAAGTATTTAGTTTATGCATTGCAAATTTCAACTCATATTTGGGAAACATCTTTTCAGCAGTTCATTGCTTAATTATTTAAGATATAAGTGGTTTACGTGTTGATACCTACTTCTTTTTCTGTATGTTTGAATGTGAGTACGTCGGCATACTAAAATGTTGGTTAGTAATGAAAGCGTCAATCGGTGTAGTAGGTCTCTATAAAACTGCCAAATAAACTGCAGGGTGCAGCAGAAACCAAAGTCGACTCATACCATACCAACTATCCCCGTAGTACTGATGATTCAGAAACTTGGGCACTGACCAAAGAACCGAAAAACCTTAATGCTGGGTTAGATAATAAAGTACAGAGAAAATATACAGACCAGTTCAAGAAAACGGCCTGGAGGTCGAAATAAAAAAGATCAGAGAGCTAAGAGAAATGTGTTAACACCCAAATATAGGGATGCTTTCCAGAAGTAGGTAAAGCTTGGATGGACAGGCTGTGCATAAACTTTTAAAAAGTATATTCCAAGGAGTACCACACGATAGACAGGAATATCAAGTTATGAAATGCATCCTCAGACTGGGATCTAAATTTTGAAGAGGCAGGTGATAGAAGAGAATCCTCATAAAGGTTTCAGTGGTCACGGAGGTAAGATAAGGTACGGTAAGTACATAAGTAGTACCGTATGCAATAAATTGGAGGTAGCATGTAGCTACTCTACTCAAAACCAGTGTGAATCGGTCGCCAATCTCACTTCAATATTTTTCAAATCGACACAAATGCTGTTTTATGGTAAAATTATCGGATTTAAAATGCATATCGCCATATTTTAGGTCTTTATTCGAATGGAATAAATAGGTTGTCACGTTACTTTTGTTTATAAGGTGATCTTCCCCATTAAAATTGCCAGAATTTGTGTCTATGCGTGTAAACTAGATGTTCTGAATTATTCCGTTTTAGTTGACAACTCGATTCCCGTACGTAGGACGGGCCACCAGCTCGTAAATCATAATAAAATTTACACGTTAAACGTAATTAAAGAATTACATTGTAGTGGTAATGTATTTTTAAATAGAGCTATTGAATTTAAATAAATATTTATCAATACATTATAAAGTGGTAGGCCTAATGTATTCATGGATTGCATTAAAAGTTAGTCTATGCATAAATACAACTTGTAAATTTCTTTTATCGTAGGCTATTAGTGTAGACCCGGGGTCATCCTCTTAATTTTGTTGAATTAATATTAATTTTACGTCTTTCAGTAGGCCTACTTTTTAAAAAAAAGTCTGGAGTTTTTCTCTAGGCTGATTCTAAATGGATGCAGGCGTTCTTGTTTATTACAATTCTATGAATTGGTGGTCATAGCTAAAATTACTTAATCTTATCCAAAAACAAAGCTATTGTCTATTGTGAAGCTCAGTACTGGGCAACGGTGAACCGAGCAATGGCTTGGTATAGTTTATATCAATTGTGAAAGCAATATAAAGGAAACCCAACACTCAAATCAGGAAAATCCGTCAATTCGTTTATTAAGAATCGTGTCACGTTTTATTATATGAATATTATATTTTTTACAAGTGGTGCTTAGGTGTACAATCTAAAAACGGTTTTATAACATGTAACATAAATCTGTTTTCCGTGTTTAAGAACTTGCGTGTATTTTAGCTTTAGTTTCGTAGAGGTTTAATTATTTAGTACCAATTAAACTGAAATTTCAATATTTTTCATATTCTATTATTTTCTTTTATACTGATGGCATTTATATTTAAGATCGAAATCATAAACATTTAACTGGCCATTGTACAGTTTAATAAAAAAACACTTTTTCATGATTTTTTAATTGTCTTTGAATTACTTTGGGCTAGTTATCTGTTAAAAGTGGAATTGATAACAAAAAACAATAATATTTACTGTATCTTTATTGACACTGACATTTTGAAATACGGCAGTGTACGATTATTTTGTCGTACAAGGTTGGCAAAGCTCCGTGCAGTGGGCGCGGCCGGGTTAGCGACTTCCAGAGTTAGCGAATTCCGCCGCGAGACAAAATCGAGTTAGCGGGTTCCGGAGTTAGCCAATTCCTGACTGAGACGGTTAGCCAGTTCCAGAGTTAGCCAGTTCCGACACACGACCGAGTTAGCGAGTTCCTGAGTTAGCCAATTCCTACGTCTCTGCATAGTTTCCAAGTAAACTTAATTTTATTTTATAAAAATTTTATTTTATTTTATTTTATTATTTATTAAATTTATTAAATTTAATATTTATTTAATTTTATTTAATATTTATATTTAATAATATTTTATTAATATTTTATTTAATATTTATTTATTTAATTTTAATATTTATTAAATTTTATTTTATTTATTTTATAAAATAAAATTAAGTTTACTAACTGCAAAGAAAATTGATTAATTATTAGTCCAAAGTTGAATTGCCATTTGGTTTTCATAGGTTCATAGATACAGTTAAATATAAATTAACATGATAATCACCATAATGCAGATAGAATATACTAGGCTGTACGTTTACCTGTAGCTTCCACAAACTGTAGTTAAGTATTTTGCATCCATTTCCATGACTGAATTTTTAATAATTGTCTCAATCAGACTTATTTCCTCTCGTGGTATTCTTTTCTCAAAATCTTCAAAGTACCTGAATAAAACACAAACTTAAAAAAATAACAAAGTTTTTCACCAAATTATTCTGCCATAAAATCGAGGTGCTTTAATGACAATTCTTTTAGGCGAAGTTATCATCAAATATCCTATCAAGTTCTTAAATAGTACATGGCTAACTACTAGTATGAATCTAAATGTATGATTTAAGCCCAAAAATGTAATAAAAATATCCATTCAATGTGATCAGGTTTTGAGCAGTACAAATATTTAAGGGCAGGTCAATCCAAATTTAAGTCAGAGTGTGCTAAAATATCAACTTAATGATATTCAATAAATGCACTTTAACGATCAAGCTTCAGTTTTTGTACTCCTTAAGAAAGGAGAATGTCTGTTAAAAAAACAGCCTAAAGTAGTATCAACTCAGAATGATTTTTTCCTAGCCGAAATCATATATAGGCTACTATCACGTTCACTGTGTTATATATTTTCCTGCACTATTACCCTGGTGCGATACGAGACGAGATTACGTTGCGCATCATAAACCTCGAAATGTACATATATGAGGTTATTGACATCGCAATATACAGTACTGTGACATTGCCTAACCATACAGGTTATTGACGTCGTAATATACAGTACTGTGACATTTCCAGAATACCCTAAAATAGTTTTGGGTCTATCCAATTACACAGTACTTGTTTTATCCTAAATATAAGTCAACCTTACTGGACCACTTAATAATGTTCCTAAAAGGAAAGAAATTTGGTTGTACTAAAGAATGTGATTATATTAAAGATTTTATGAAGAAAAATTTGATTTTAAATTTGTCATAAATAGATTTATTTTACATTTATTTTTTTATACTAAATGTAAATAATTAAATGAAAGGTTAACAAAATAAAATAGTTGTAGTGTTGTTTTCGTATTGAAATTAATAAATCATTCATATTTCTTGTTCACTAGTCAAAAACAAGGTTACTATTCCGGCCATGAGAGAGATATACAACATAAACATGTGAATTTATCAATCGACTGCGGGTTGCCACTGCGTTTTGCCGCTCCTAGACTTCAACCGGTTCGAAAATAAGCTACATTTTACCGCATGAAAAAACACCCGTGTGGCCTTAGCCTGAAGGGGGCTTCGTGCTTGGGGCAAAAAATACAATTTTGAATTTTTGAAATAGAAACTCTTGTCCCAACGTAGAACGTAGCTTGTAAAATTGTGTTGTGTTGGAGATTCAAGGGAGTTAAAATACTTTTTTTTAAAAGGTTTTGTAAAATAGTAATTATGTGTCAAAATTTAGATTTTCAATTTAGTTGTTAAGAGTCAAAATCATACAGGTCTAGTACGATTTTTAAAATCTATTTATACATTTTATAGCAACTAGGGTCGTCTGATGTTAAAAAAAATTACATTTTGGAAGCAGGCGAGCGTTGTTGACTGAAATCGTAAACAAGCAATAAGCAGAAGCAGCTGCAACAATAAATGATAATGAGCTGATAAGGGAACCTGTCTAGTCCTGTCTGACTCACGCACGCATACACACACATACGATGCCTTATCGCCTTTCCAAAACAATTATTTAAAAATCACTTTACTCCCAGTGTTTGAGACTAGTGGTCACACCAGTTTTTGGTTAAAATTGTCGTACTTTCGTGTTGTATAATTGAGTATACACGTATACGTATACGTGTATACTTAATGGTTGTATTTAATAATTCTGGAAACACTAGTTATTTTTTATTTGTGTTTTCAGTCAAGCTCCAAACAGAATTTGTATTACAGTAAAAACAAATTTAAATTAAACCTTTTACAAGTAGGCCTACGTGTTATTTTATTTTAAATTTATCTATAGTTTTTATTATTTGTTACAAAGGATTTTACATTTTAATGTACCCGGTATTGCAAAACAATTTGTAAGGTAACTGCTAGGTATTTTAAATTTTCATAAATACAGTTACAACAAGAACAAACCATAACAACGTACATTGCAGCTATTTTTAGACTTAAAATATTACATAAAATTAGTTTATGCAAAATGCAACATACTAATCTAACAGGTTTACAGATTATTTCACCTTTACATTTCTTAATTAAAATTAGTGTGCATGTACGTTAAAGTGTGTAACGCATATTCTTGTATGTTCATACTGGGGGCCCCATTGGCAAATTTACCCAGGATCAAAGAATAATTATATAGAAAAACATTGTTTTATATTAACACTTACCTTAAACCTATCTGCTGATGGTGTGTTAGCTTGTCTAAGTTTTTTCTAAGATCGTCAAGAGTGGTAAGGCCAGAATCAACAAGTTCTTTGGCTTTGACTGGCCCAATTCCAGATACTCTGGTAAACAAATTAATGGACTCATTTGTTCCATCTTTACGAATCTACAAAAAGATAAATGTATTTAAATTGGTAATGTTTTTGTTACTAAATGGTTGGTTAAAAATTGGTTATTGATACCTATATAGTAAATTTTATAAGTTCATTTAATTTATCTTATAGATTCCTTTACTTTTAACAAGCTTTTAATTACTGATATAAAATACAAGACACGGGTTGTTAATTTGATCATTAAACTTTCTCAAATGTAAGCAGTAGCAGATGATAATGTAGCACATTATCAAAAAGGGTAACAAACTTTACATAGGCTACAAGTTTATCATGTGGATTAAAAGTGGGCAAAAAACACATATCAGGACTTATTTTAACTCTATTTTTAGTGAATTTCCTGTATAGGGAATAAGCTATTACCCCTCAGTGGCGTAAATAAGGGGGGTGATCAGGGTGATCAATCACCCCCCAAAGACAAGTAATATATTTTTTTAAATAATATTATTTAGAAAAAATATGAATTAAAAATAAATAAAATTTAAATGTTTTTAAGTACTGCTGTTTTAACATATACCGTTAAGCGTGTATAGGTTAAGAAATTCATTAATTAAAACTTAACAATTTTAAATTTAAATTAGCTAAAGGAAGCTAAGTCAAACTGCGTCCACTCCACTAATCAGTGTAGTTTAGCTGTTATTGAGAGTAGTCGGTTACAGTTTTTTTGGTGATTGTGGATCGTGCATTAGTTTTGGTTCTGTTAAGATGTTTTAGTGAAGTGAATCAATTAGCCTATGTGTATTTGTTTTAATCTTGCTGAACAATCGATCAAAAGAAAGGGCCAGTGTTTAATATCGGACATGTTCAAAACCAGGAAATTAGATGACTGTTCCCCTCCTCTGGATATGTTATGGGAACAGGGTTATATGGAGTAAAAATTACTTTTCCCATTTTCGACCCTTAGACCATTAAGTTTCTTTCTAAACCATTCAGCGGAGCTTAAAAAACAATTCATTTAGTTGTAGTATATTGATTCGTTGCTATACGCCTAATAAATAAGGAGAAAAATAAAAAAAAACTTTAAATTTTATATTCCCATGTTATTCTTATGGAGAATAAGTAAACTGTTGTAGTTGGCTTGTTTGTGAGTCACATATTTTGTTCAAATTTGGGAAATATAATTATTTTGTAGTAAACTATTACTAACGTTTCACATAAAAAACATCTTCTTACTTTTCCTTTAGCAGCAAACCTAAGTAGGTACTCGTTAAACTAATACTATTTAAATAAGAGTAGGGCCTACAAATATGACATTTTAAGGAGATATTTTGGTGAAAATCCAATCAGGCAAATGGTAGCCTAATTCACTTGGTGAGGGTATCATATTTTTCTCAGCTTTAACACGTTTGCTGCTGAAATTTGCCTAATATACTTTGACAAAATGTTAAACAAATAGCAAAAATAAAAATATAATTCAACACCCGGGTGCTCACAGCGCTCTGGTGGTAAAACTTAAAACTTTGAGAGTAGTTTGTAAAGATTTTGGCCCGATTAATATTTCCAGCAATCTCTTTTTATAATATATTTGAGAATTACGCATGCAATTTTGAAGGTTACCTGTGAAGACTACCAGAGCTTCACAATTTGTTGTGTTATCTGAAACATCGTCGGAAGATGGAAAGACTTTGTCAAACTCAATAACACATTAATTTCAATTTTTTAGCCCCTGAACTGCGTAGTATAGACTAAACTATTACTTACCTTGTCTTGCAGTTCAAATATAGTGTTTGAATTCCACTACATATGTTTTGCCAAATATGAAAAGTTATGAGGGGATATATGAGGGGATAGATATTATTAAAGAGGGGAAAGCATCCTCAAGTGGTTAAGAGAAACATTGTACTGTATCCGAATTGGATTAGTCAAGATGTAATTTTTTGAATATAAAAATATGTACATTCTGACACGCAGAATAAAATTAACAAATAAAACATTAAACATGTCTGTCTCAGTCAGTGCCATTGGTCGGGTTAAGTTTTGTAAGCCTACAAGAATAAGAATCTTTATTACCCTTTAAACATTTTACAGTGCAATTAGGGTTTGTCATTTGCTACATAATAAATTGCTACATAATATTAAAATGTTTTGTAGTTAAATATTTCACATAAAATAGTAACAAAGATAATATTTATCAAATAAGTTAAGACAAGCTGGCCTGGTTCTAATCTAAAATCTAGTCTACTAATGGCAGGTACATGGTGAAACATAAGGCAAAAAATATGGGCAAAATACAAGTCAAAATAGAACGAGTACATAGAAACAATACTAACATGGCAAGATGGTAAAAATAGATTTTGAAACAAATTAACAAAGGTTAATAAAAATATGTCTATATCAAAATGGTTACCATCAGAAACAAGTTTACTTAAATAAATATGACTAGAATGGCACAAAAATGAAGCAAGTTGGGGTCATTGCGTTTGCTTTTAAAACATCAATTTTGAAATATCGCTTTTAAAAAATTCATCTAGTTTTATAAAAGGGTGGCTAGTTAACCATCTGTACAAAGTAGTCTACATTATAACTAACATGGTGAGAGGTGTAATTTATTTTGTTGAAAAGTGTTATAGGTTCAGTGTTATAGGTTTGTTGTCATGTTTAATGTTTTATTCGTTAATTTATTCTGAGTGTTACAATTTACATATTTTTATATTTAAAATTTACATCTTGACGAGTCCAATTTGGATACAATGTTTCTGTTAACCACTTGAGAATGCCATATTTGGCAAAACATATGTAGTGGAATTCAAACACTATATTTGAACTGCAAGACGAAGTACCGGTACGTAAGAATTTAGTTAATAACACAACCGGATGAACTCTGCTGGGGGCAAGTGCTTCAAAGAAGAGGGCAACTTCAAGTTGCAGCACACTCAATTAAATGGGATTTATTGGGGAAAGCAGTCCAACATCATTGATTATCAATGAATGGAATGCCGATCCATAATCACTGCTGTCAAGGAAATCTGTGTGGACTGCAGACTACAGACACCATAGTGGGAGACGACATGTCTGAAGACCAACAAAATTTCTCAAAACTAGGCCTACCATGGTTGCTAATATATTTCTTGATTATAATTTAATATACAGGGTGTCCCGTAACTCTCTGGACACATGTATATAGCGTTATTGCTCAGGTCAAGACAAACACATTTCACTTTAGGAATTGGGTCTGTGGTGTCTAGTTTACCGACTGTCGGCATTTATGTGTTTTTACAAAAAAATTAATAACTCCTAAACAGTTTGAGATACAGCGTTGAGATTTTTCAGAAATGTTAATCTTAAAAAGACTTATCTTTGTTTAAAATTATACTAAAAAATCATTAACCGTTTCAAAATGGCAGCCATTTAAAATATTTTATGCCAAATTTCACGAAAACCGTTAACTTGACAAAAAAATTCCAAGAGACAAAAAAGTTAGTAAATTTTATGTAGATTTCAATGATACCTTATTTGTTAAGAATGGATAAATAATAACAGAGAAATGTCTTCTTTTCCAAATGCATGACCACTTTTCTCCATCTAAACAATGCTAAACAACGTAAAAGAAGTATTAGCATTGTTTAAAAGGAGAAAAGTGGTCAGACATTTATCTGTTATTATTTATCCATTCTTAACAAATAAGGTATCATTGAAATCTACATAAAATTTACTAACTTTTTTGTCTCTTGAAATTTTTTTGTCAAGTTAACGGTTTTCGTGAAATTTGGCATAAAATATTTTAAATGGCTGCCATTTTGAAACGGTTGCAAAATCTCAACGCTGTATCTCAAACCGTTTAGGAGTTATTAATGTTTTTGTAAAAAACACATAAATGCCGACAGTCGGTAAACTAGAAACCACAGACCCATGTTCCTATGTTGAAATGTGTTTGTCTTGACCTAAGCAATAACGCTATATACATGTGTCCAGAGAGTTACGGGACACCCTGAATAGTATATGCTTTCGTTTAACAGTTAAACAAAATATACAGCTCTGAAGTAATATATGTGAAAATAGTAAAAAGGGGCCTGTCTGTATACAAATGTCTCAATTACAGATGTAGAGTTTTAAATTGAATACTTACTTAGAATGTATGTTTTTTTAATGTGTTTTCCATGCCTTTGGCATTTTTTACATTTTGAAAGGGAGCGGTCCAAACCCTGGTTTTCTGTTGCTGTCTAACGTCGACCAAATGTGTATAAGTGCAAGAATGTTTGCAGGTAATGTGTTCGGAGGTCACAAATCAAACAGAGATCTTAGTGAAGACTGTCATGTTAATTAAAATGATCTGCATATTGTTTTTAAAAGTATACTTCTGTAGTGAGTACAAAGAAGAAAAAGTAAATATAGTTCGGCCGCTTAGAAAACAACCTGCGCGCTAATGCTACACCAATGCTGGAGGAGGTCGCTTTCTACGCGGCCGAACTATAGCACTGTTTGTTACTGTTAACAAACAGACAGTTTACAACTTCGTTTAGTCACGTTTATCAATGACTATCAATTGTTATGAAGTTTTATTGTTTGTTAGATTAATTAACGTGTATTACTAAAAAGGCTGTTTGATTTGATTTCCTTTGATTCTGCCACATTGTAACCAGCCCCTACACAGGAAATGCAGTACTTATTAAGTTCAGTACTGCACACTGCACAGGACTGGCCAAAGCTTTCTCAAAATTATAAAAGAGAACATAAAATGTCATGTAATAGGTATAATATAAAGTCAACGGATGGACTACGGTAGGCTATATCGAACCAAAATGACTGAATACAATTATTATTCATAAATTAGTGATGCATACTATGCCATCAAAACTTTGTTATAAATCCTGAGGTATAACATGTACAGAAGGCCTCTAGTGGAGATTTCCTTACAAAAATCTAAAATATAGCCTAATTTATGAAACATTTATCAAACCTTTAATACCAACTGCCCTACCTTGTCCAATTTTTGTAAGGTGCCTGTTTTTAAAAACTCGTCAATCTTTTCGGCAACCTTTTCTCCGACGCCCTCTAGTTTCCGAGCTTCTTTGCCAGATGTTATTCGTACTTTGTGAGCAGCAAGTGAACTTGCTGCTTTTCTGTATGCGTTGTACTTGTGAATATTACGGTTTACATTGCGCTCATAATTGGCGAGCTCTGAAATACAAAACTTTATATTAAAATTTAAGAAGCCTAGACTTATCAAAGAAACATATATTTTGCTATTCATAAAGACATAAATACAACAACAAGCTACAACAACAAGTACAACAGGGCTAAGTTCCAACTTGATAGTTGGCTATACTTGATTTCATGTTCTCCAGTATTTAAGGTCTTAATTATGGGAGATAGCCATGCTTTTATAATCACTAAATACCCTAAATACCCGGAGCTATAGAATACAGGGGCTGGCTCACGTCTTTGATGTAGCACTTGCCGACACGGCCCCGCTCCCCCACCTCCTGTGACGTCACCGGGCTGACAGTCGGGCCTGTTTCCATTACGCAGCCAGCGAAAATCTCACTCTTTTACACGCTCCTCTGCCATTGTACGAACATATTTCTCATATGATACTTATATCGTTGTATTCTGCATTAACTGTAGAATCCAAATATCCAAACAGTTTTTAGTTTACCACAAGTAAATTGGTTTTTTAGCAACAAACGTTGAGACACTACAATTATGAAAAAAAAGTGAGGAATATTTTTATTTTCGGGTTAGGCACAAACTTTTAGCGTAAAGAATTATAACTGAATGAAAACTGTAGTCAATCAGTTCTACCATAGTAATTACTTAACGAGTTTTAAATACCCCTAACAGTTCATTAAATCGTCTCAAAAGACAATTGTTTCAAGGTAATTTTGCCGTTTGCTTTGCAATTTTTAGGTTATTGTTATGGCAACACTGCATCTAATACGCGTGAAACAACTTCGCTCTTTCATTGTTATTCGCGTCTTCTTTTTGTTTCTGAAGAAGATAGAAGAAAAATGATCAGAAGATGAGTAACTGGCAAAAATCAGCGAAATAGGTTACAACTGTTGTTCAAAGGTTTATTGCGGACATTTTCCATCACGAATGTAAAAAACAATACACAACGTTTCGGGATCTGGAATCTGATCCCGTCTTCAGGTGAAAAAACTTAACTAACACATTACAACTAACAATACACAAACGTCCAACCTAAGTTGGAATACACTACCGTGGGTAGTAGTCAAAAAATATGCACTGTATAGCAGTCAAGTCATGATACAACATGCAATTAATAACAAATCACAAAACACTATAATCTATAATTAAAGGTTTATGTACAAAAAACTCACACAATGGAACACTAACAACACCGTACGCTATGACTCCACCAATGAGACTGAACCAACATGGCTGACCAATCGGAAACACGGAGACAACAGAAATGGCTTCCGGTCCCTGGAAAAGTAAAACCAACAAAATGGCGGAGCGATGTACGATGCCGCAAGATGGGTGTTAATTATGTTTATTCCTATCACGAGTTTTACTACGAGTTAACATAACGTGCGAATTTTGAGGAGAACTCGTTATTTCCCTATTTATTGAACAATTAAGTTCCCTATCCTTTAGTTCCTTGTTCAAAATGGGTAGCCAAAGTGGCCTTATTTCAACCGATGACTGACTGATTGGTTGGTCTGCTAATTTAATTTATTTGTTATTTGTGCTAATTTATTTGTTTTTTACATTCGTGATGGAAAATGTCCGCAATAAACCTTTGAACAACATTAACTCACCATCACCAACAATGAACTTCAAACAAAGAGGTTACAACTATTATAATAAAAATACTATCGCATTAAAACGCTCTTTTACTTTTATCTACGAATAAACACTTTGTTCTACAGACAATATAAAATTACCTAAACCATTACACATTCCTAAAATATACCCAACCAAGTGTATTAGAATATATGACAAGGGGTACCGGAACATGTACCGGAATATCAAACATATAAATAACAATTTAAGCCTTAAGTCTACACAATTCTTAAAATTCAGTTTTAGATCTAATTAATTGTTTCACTAATAGAAACAGTGCAATTGTTTTATCACGATCATAACATTTTTTACTTTCTCCCCCTATACCATAGTATATTATGGAGAAAGTATTGTTTTCGTCAAAATTTTTGAGTTTGAGTTTTGAGTGGATATATTCGTTTTGGGTCCCCCTGGACCCAAAAAAGTGGTTTTCGAAGTGATGTCTGTGTGCGTGTGTGTGTGTGTGCGTGTGTGTGTGTCTGTGTGTCTGGATGTGTACAGAGCTAGAGACCACACCTGTGGTCCGATTTCGATGAAATTTGGTATGTAGGTTCTAATCCATGGTATCTCCAGGCGCTTTTTTTCATTTTTTTGAAATTTTTATTTTTAATGGGGATTTTCCCATAAAAACCCATAAAAAACCGGAAAAATCGGATTTTCTCGAAAATGGCCTGAACGATTTTGATAAAAATTTAGTATGTTGTAACCCTTTAAATTCTGAATAAAATGGTACAAATCCCATATCTGTAAAAATTACGGTTCAAAAGTTATGGTCAAATATGTTATTTTCCCATAAAAACCTCTAAGATTTAACATAGTATGTTATAGTCTTTACAGTTTTGATAGTTTTTTTTAAATTTTTTAGAAATTTTTATTTTTAATGGGGATTTTCCCATAAAATAACGGAAAAATATGATTTTCCCAAAATGGCCCGAACGATTTTGATAAAAAAATAGTATGTTATAGTCCTTTATATTCTGAACAAAATGGTACAAATCCCATTTCTGTAAAAATTACGGTTCAAAAGTTATTGTAAATTATGTCATTTCCCCATAAAACCCCCATAAAATAACAGAAAAATCGGATTTTCCCAAAAATGGCCCGAACGATTTTGATGAAAATTTAGCTTGTTTATAGTCCTTTAAATTGTGAACAAAATTGTACAAATCCCATTTGCGTATATTTACTCTCACCACTTACATATGATAAAGGTTTTTGACAAACTTATGGGAGAAAGTATGTGTCAGAATGCTGATACCGTTTATTTACTATCATGTTATAAACAGCACGATGCGGACATGTGCGGAACGATGTAATTTGATCGCCAAGTTTATAAAGCCTAACTTCCTGATAAGCACTAAACGACCCGTTGGTTTTATCGAGAATTTTCAGGCTAATTATTGAAGTAGAACTATTAATGAATATTTTTCTCGCTCAAACTTTGTCCCTATCCCAAAAATAAAAAAAAATTCCCTGCTTAGTGACTTTTTGTAATTCACAAGTTTGTAATCCTTATAATTTTCTCCTTAAAAAAACATATTATTGATCATAACTAAAATTTTGACCATCAGATTCGGTAGTTAATGCAGATTACAACAATATAAGTTTCATACGGACAATTAAATTGTGTTAATTCAGGCAAGCGTTTGAATTAGAGGTTTGTATATGTGCCGCGCGCTAGCTACACCCGTGGAGGCAGCCCGGTGACGTCACAGCCACACGGCACTGGAACCACTTTGCTAGTCGACGTGAGCCAGCCCCTGTATTCTATAGCCCCGCTGAATACCGCCGCAGGAAACCTGCAGACTAAGCGAATTTCCATTTACCTGGCTGAATTTCTACTAAAATGTTCCCGGAAAATTGTCAGATTTATTTCCTATTTAAATGACATTAATTTTAATGAATACCTAGGTATGCTGCAACAGGGAAGGTATTGAGGTGTGTTTTTTTATTGAAATGTTGATAGCTTAGTATGAAATAACAAAATGCCAACTTTGATCAAAATATATCTATAAACAAGCAAACTACCTATTTAGCAAACAGTTTATTTATTCTCCATAAGGATAACGTATGTAAATTTTAAATTTAAAGTATTTTTTTTAATTATCTCTTTTTAACTAACCTGAAGACATACAACAACACTTTCAATATACAAAATTATTTATTTTTTTAAGCTCTACAAAATGGTCTGGAAAAATTTTTTAGAAGTTTTATGTTTTTAGAGTCAAAAATGGGATAAGACCATTTTTACCCGATAAAACCCCCCATAAATTCCAATAGTCCGATCATGCTGGTTCGCAAACTCCTTAACCGTAGGTTTACACGTTTGTATCAAATTTTATCAAAATCTGATAATTTTTGCTTGAGTTATCGCACTAACGGACAGGCCTATATTGATATATAAATATATAAGTTATGAATTTGAACGGAGGGTGTTTTTGGTCTCTGAGAACCTTAAAACAAATAAGTAAATCGATCCCGGGTCTAAGTCTTACCATGAGACCTACGGTAATAGCTTATTCCCTATAGGCTATAGGAAATTCGCTATCTTAGAGAGAGAGAGAGAGAGAGAATCTATATTACATAAGCGTAGAGCTTAGAAATGGTGTCAACAATTAAAACAAATCTGGAAATATACATAAATGTTACAAAAAGAAAAAAAAATTGATTTCATCAGTCTTTTTCACAGAGGGTGTAGAACTCTTCCATGGTGTAGATGGGATTATCTATCAGCCAGGTAAGTAGTCTTTTTTTCAATGTCTTTGCATTGCCGGTCTTGATTGTTGTCGGAAGAAGATTGTAGAGCCTGGCTCCTGCGTAAGATGGCTTCTTCGCATATCTGGCAGTTCTGTGTGGGGGCAAGTTGAAATCTGCAGCGTTCCTTGTGTAATGCAGGTGTATATTTGCATTTCTAGGAGTGCCTTGGTTGAGGGCAAAATTTACGACCTCAGAGATGTATATGGCGATTACAGCATTCTGAAGACATCCCTGCAGCTATCGTCTTGCTGGAGGCCACCAAGAATTCTCACGGCACGCTTTTGCAATTTCAGGACACGCTGGACATTCTGCTTGGAATATTTCCCCCAAAGCACTATTCCATACCTGAAGAGCGTCTCAAAAAGTGCATGGTATGCTACACGTGCTGTGGCTGGAGAGGTAACTTTGTGGAGACGTCTCAACGCAAATAGCGATGAGCTAAGCCGCTGGCAAAGGGAATTGATGTGGGCATTCCAACGAAGGTCGTTATCTAGAATGAGTCCAAGATGTTTGGTGGTGTCTGCCACTTGGATAGTTGGAGGACTTGAAACGGCATCTTTGAATTTCCCGAAGAAAAGTTGCTGAGTTTTACTCTCGTTGAAGACTAAGTCGTT